CTATTAAGTAGTCAAATTTGTGCACTTTTGGAAGAAGTGGCTCACAGAAGCTTCCTTAAATCTCCCCAAAGCTCGCTCGCTGATTGATTGATGCCAACCAATCAGATCGTTTGCACGTGAAAAATAATTTTCCCCGCGCAACGAATCGGAGCCTATAGTCGCTTATTTAAGCTAAGATTTTTCTCATCTCGATTAGTGAGACCTCAACTGCTAAACGAATCCACAACAGTTGGAACCACGCGCCAATCTTCTCACTCACACGCACACCCACATGCCGATGATAATTTGTACACCTTCACGAAAAAATTATTTTGACACAACAATACTTTTCAACAATAATATCACAAGAACAATCATATCATGAAACAACTCATGAATATTTATCCAGTGAACTTTAAACCAAATAATTATCTCTCACTGAACTCTTAAATTTCAGGCAAAGAGAGGCAACTCTTGATTAATTCAACCTTTCTTACTTAAATGCATGTTTTCTTTCACATGGTTGTTTGATATTGTACATCTTGTTAATATACATATATTTTATGTGCAACAATGTCTTGTGGTTATTCTTCTTACGTGAGTCCTGTTTTCTTATCAAAGTTAAATTAATGTGGTGAAGTCCGTCAGAAGTTATTGAATTTACTTGTCCAATAGGAAAAAGTACTCAATGAAAGGTGGTAATTCACAATTATTTTCTTTTTGAACATCCATACAAAAAATAATCTAACATTTACTAAAATGAAAAAAAATTAAGATTCTTTTTAAAAAAAATTAATGCTTGAAGATGGCATTAAACTTTATATTTTTCAATCTTTCAAACATATCATTACTAAAGCAACTCTAGTTATGAACAGCAAAAGAATTAATTTAAAAATAGCCCTGAAACAAGTAATTAAAAAAACATTATCAAGTATGTTTTTTTCTGTCAAATCTGGAAAAAAGTGTTTCATTATGCATATACAAGCAATAATTGTCAGAAAAAAATCTTTTTGAGTTTTATTGAATTATTTTTGGTAAAGGTTCCAAAAGAATTTTCCATATGTTCATACTTGATACTACATGATATATATATATTTTTTTTAACAGCAAGGTTCACCCTTTATAAGGCCCGGGGCACTCGAGGTAGAGGGTTACGTTAGGAGGCAATTTGTGCGGATAGGAGGAGGTTAAGAAGACTGTAGTGATCAGGGAAACATCCTCTTGGTGGTTGGTTCCACAGAACAGTGGCTCGTGGGAAAAAGCTGTTAGAGTTGTAGAACCCAAATTCTACATTATTCCAATACCTTTCGTCAAATCTGTGCCAAAAGTGGACCACAGAGAACACTTTCAACTTCATACACTTTCAAAAAAATCTCGAGTCTTCATTGGTTAATAAATATACAAGTAGGCGTGACTATCCACCCACGCTTAACTAATTTTTACAGCTCGTGACTGAAATCCAAGTTCGTGCCAAGTCTCTGTGAGGCACACGAAGCAAATAAAAACAGAAACTCATTCACAATCGCCAGTGAGAATTGTGACATCAAACGAATTGCAACTAAACTTCACGTCACACAATCTTAAGTTTTTCGTTTATACGAACATTATACAAGCTTAACGATATTCACACTTACTCACCAAAACTTTATTCCCATTCACTCACAAAATTCCTTACACAGAAGTTAAACAAATTCCTGCTAACAAATCAACTTTATTTCTCAACATTCGAGAACATTATATTACGCAAAATAATCAAAGGTAGATAACTTCTTTCATCACAAAATTGCATTCAACTTTGCAAACATTTACTACTTACATGAACAATAAATTCTTAAATGTAAATTTTTCTCTTGCAATTAATTTACAGAATCTTCAATAACAAACATAATTTCAAATCAGAACTCATTAACAAAATTTAATCTTTCACCAAACTTGAGTTCAATATAAATTAAACTAACAAGATCTCATCTAAAAAATCCACTAAATTTTGTAAAATATTTTCATTACAAAAATGTATTGAAAATTATTTGTTATTCAAATATTTGCCTTTTGTCTTTTATCAAAAATGTTTCTTGTTGTTTTTGCATTTTTGCTTATCATATTCGTAGAGTAAAAAATGGTATAGATTAATTTGGGCCGTCAACGCCATTAAATAAATGGTAACCACCAAACTTTCCACTACAGAGTAGAACTTAGTTCTTATCGATGGAATACAGAGGAAATATTGGTGGTTAACTACAATGTAAGTAGCATGGCGGGTCCTTGCCGTGAAGGTTTGCCTCGTCGGGACTAGTGAATGTAGCTCGTCTGAGCACTTTCTGTGGACGTAGCGATAACGCAGCGATGGGATTGCCACATCCCACCTGTGGGAGAGATGCTGAAGAGTGGAGAATAATTTGTCACCTACAAGGGCTCGGAGACGTTTTTAGATTCTATCAAGGCTGGAAAGTGAGCTCTGAGCAGCTCCTGTCCAAATATAACAACATTACTGCATTTTTGGCCCGATCTGGCTTTTATAAAGCTAGAGGATAGCAGAAGGAGCGGTTCAGGGAGCTGGCCATTTTATTTGCATACTTAGCAATGGATTGTATGTACGAGTTCCACTTGAGGTCATTTTGTTTTTTCATTTCGGAAAAAAAAAAACCATTCATTTTGGTGTTACATGTAATAATAATAGCTCCTTAAGAGTTATTGCCCTTACTTTACCGACGCCCGGCATAATAAAACATGGCGTTCTACACTTGAAAGCTATACAGGTGTATCCTGTTTTCTATAAATATTACAATAATACATAGTAATAATGAAGAGTGTATTGAGATAAAACAAAACAATAAAATGGAATAAAAACTAGTAATATAAAATAATAATTATAGTAATAACGAAGAGTCTATTGAGCGATACACCCTTGTGCAAATTAATTGAAATAAAACGAATAATTCAGTTATTATTTACTTTTTTCGTATTTTTCCAATGAAACATGACGCAGTGCACATGTTAGTATTTCGTATGCCCATTCCACGAAGTCGTTCCTTGCAGACTGACCACAGATTCTCGATTGGATTAAAATCAGGAGAGTTTTCGAGCCAGTCTATAATACTTTGATTTGCTCACTGGTGAGGCTTACCAGTGAGTTCGTGCAGCGTTACAATTTTCATATGCTTCCTTGGAGTAACGTGCATCACAGACAATGGCTGTAGGACAACTAATCGACAGTCGAGACAATAGTGTCCGTGCGTGATAAAAATCTGATGCAATCACGGATGACGCAATATTTAACACGGCCAAATAAATTTCATCATACACCCCAAAAATAGGTTCATATTACTGCACACCACTACAAATGCCCTAATCTAAGGAAAAATAGAAATCGATTACACCCTATCACTCCAGTGGGTCTAAAACTGACCGAATAGTGAAAGAAAGGAAACTAAAGTGGTTGTTTCAATTAATTTGCACAAGGGTGTAAAAAGTAACAATAATTGGATGGAATAAAAAATAGTAATATTATAATTTTTTATCCGCATGCAAGCGGTTTGCTGCATTTCAGTGGATATACAATAATAGAAAGCGGTGTAAGACAAGGATGCATTTTCTCACCGGACTTATTCTATTTATACAGCGAGGCAATTCTGAGAGATTTAGGTGTCCTACTAGGATTCATTATTGGAGATCACGATCTTAATATCATAATATATGCAGATAGCAGACACAGAAAGAAAATTACAAAAGCTCCTACAGAAGGTAATGAAGGAAGGCGAGAAGAAAGGACTAAACATAAACTGCAAGAAAACATAAGGTATAGTCGTTAGCAAAAGATTAAACCCAAAATGAAAATCACAAATCGGAGATACCAAAATGAAACCAATACAAAAATTTAAATATCTGAGAAGTGTTCTAACCGAGGATGGAAAGTGCGACACTGAAATCCGAAGACGCATTGGGATAGCGAAAGGTGCCTTCCAAAAGCTAAGCAGAGTATTTCGTAAGCAGAAAAAATTCGTTAGAAAGAAAGAGTACTGAACTGTTACGTGATGTCTGTCTTCCTGTATGGCAGTGGATGCCAGACAATCTCCTTAAAGACAAGGAAGAGACTTGAGGCAATAAAAATATAGTTCTACAGAAGGATGATGAGGATACTATATGCCGAGCATGTGAGAAACGGCGATGTTTTAGAGAAAATGGAAACAAAAAGGAAACTTATGCTTAATATCAGGAAGAGACAGTTAAAATTTCTGGGACACATAATAAGGAAAGGGGCTTGGAAAATCTGATACTCACAGGACAGATTGAGAGAAAGAGGGACCGGGGAAAAATGTGCATAACATACCTGATGAGCTTAAGTAAATGGATAGCAGAACAAGGTTTAGGAGAGATAAGAAAAGACAAAATTTATTAAGAGTTACAAAGGGCAGGAAACCGTGGAGAGCCATGATCAGCAACGTCCTGAAGAGACACGACATATAGAAGAAGAATGAGCTTGTGTAAATGGTTGGCAAAACAGGGATTAGGAGAGATAACAAAAAGACAAAATTTATTAAGAGCTACAAAGGACAGGAAATTGTGGAGACCCACGCCGCCTACATCCTGAAGAGACACGACGCATAGTTTAGGAGAGACAACAAAATTTATCAAGAGCTAAAAAGGACAGAAAATTGTGGAGACCCATGTTTGCATACGTCCTGAGGGGATAAGGCACATAATAATGAAGTGTGCACTCACTCAAAATATTATTTTACAAAAATCTTTTTTTTTTTACACTAAAAACAGCACCACTAAGAAAGTGAAATTGTAAAGCTCGTAAAAATTAATATATTTACTTTATTTTAAATTCAAACTGTACCCTTCAAGGCTTAAATCAGAAATCATTTTTATAGTTTAAAAAGAAGGTAAAACAAGTGCTTTTGGCCGACTTCCGGTTAGTGGAACTCTCCTATGCGTGAAAACCCGTTTGTTAAAGGAAGCCGCCTGATTGTAAAGGCGGATAGTTTCAAGTCGTTGTTGAGTGAAAAACAGGAAGAAAAATGTCTTTTAATTTCGGCACCAACCCAACCTCGACCACCACAACTACAACATCCTCTTTTACGTTTGGTGCTCCGACAACAACCACGACTTCATCATTTTCATTTGGTGCCCCGACAGCAACAACCACTTCAACGTTTAGTTTTGGCACGCCGGTCGCTACAACCACGGCTTCGGGTACAGGTTAGTTACTCGATTATTTGGAGTTTTTTTTATCTCGATACTAAATTCCTTTTCTTTTTTAAAATTTAAAATCATATGTAATAAACTTCCCTCTGATTGTTTTACACCTTAAATTATTAAGTAGTCAATCAGGGCCGAGACAGTCTTTTTACGAGAATGACCGGCCGTTTCATTTGAGTGTTTTGTTTACCTTTAAAAAACGAAAAAAATACAAACAAAAAAAAAAACAAAAACAAAACTCTTTGAAGTTTTCAAATAAATTCCCCGTCCAGTTGATAGTGGTCCTTGAAAAAAAAATTTTTTTTTTTTTTCTTTTTCAATTCTGAATTCAACTATGATGCTTTTTTTTAATTTTTTTGTGTGTTTGGTGAGTTTTTTTTTTTATTTTAGTTATCACCAGGGATTGAACCTCAAACCACCCGGGTCTTACTCAAACATCGAGATCAGTTATCTACCTTAATACACTGATTAACCTGCTTCTCTCACAGACACCTACCATGGCCTTGTGCCAGACTAATCTAAACTTGGTTAGACAACTCTGAAATCAAAACCTTAGAGAAGGTATTACTTTCTCTAAGGTTTTGAACTATTCCACTAGCTTTTTCAAGGAGAGTCCTTATAATTCATTAATATTTTTAAAAAAGGAAGCTGCGGAGAGCCATGATCACTTATGTTCTAAATGTCCATGATCAAGAATTGTAGAACGTGGGAGTAGAAGGAGATTCTCACTCTCTTTATTTTACATCTTTTGTTTAAATATCCCATTTAGTTATTTGTGTATTTAAGTTAAAAATTAGGGGATCGTATATGAGAAGCAAATATTAACTTTTTGAGGCCATGTGTGTTGCCATATTTGGGATGATATGACCGAAAATAAGTCATATTTTTGGTCCGAACTAATATGTAACATATTTTAAATTACTAATAAAACACGGCATTTTTTAAAAAATTTTTTTCCATCTATTAAGCCTATTTTAGTTTTCTTTGCTGCAATCCAACAACTACTTAGCTGTAGATCATTCAGTAACAAACTTCACAGATAAATAAAAAAAAGATTTTCCCTATTATTGACTACTGTGGATTGACATCAAAGGAAGAAATATCTTGCATGACACTGTCCGTGGCACAAAAAAGGCTGGGGGCAACTGCTGGAAGCAACCTTTTTACCAGGGTTATTTGAGTTAAATGATTTCTTTTTTAAATGACTGATTTAAATCAATTTGACAAAAATCTTTAAAGCAAAAGATTTAGAAATAAAAGACAATCTTTTTTTTTTTTTTTTTTCATGTAATTTCATGAAAGAAAAAAAAGTGTTAAATATATTGAATCAAGTATTTGTTATTCAACTGGATGGATAGGGAGGCACAGTGGAGTAATGAATAGAGTCTCGGTCTGAGGAATTGGATAGCCAAGTTCGGATTTCAATTGGATCCATTACATTCATTTATGTGCTAATATCCTTGGGAAAGGTATGGATCCTTTTCTTCTCTCCCAAGCTATAGATAGACTGGGTTCTATAACTTTGGGTGGCAACCAGTTTAGGAGAAGGAAAAACTCAAAACTGGCCTGGAGCGGGTTGGGCTCGGTCAGACTATCTTACCCAAAGAACACCACTTCTACAGTGGCTGCAGTACACATGGTGCCCTACGGGTTACATATATATATATGTATACATATATCTCACAGCTGTTTGCGGTTTCCTATAGTCCCAGTAAACTTAAATAAAGTCAATTCTATCCCAAGTAAAATTCATCACAAAAATGGCAAAAGTCATTTTGTCACAGCTTATTTTCTCTGAAAAAATAGATTTTCATACTTTTATAGGTGTAAAATATTGAAAAATGACTTTGTCTTCATCTGAACAAATATCAAGGAAACTTTTGATCTGGACCCCATGAAACTAGGTATTTTCTGAAAGCAAACAATATGTTCTTTTATTTAAAAGTAAAATTGGCTGGTGTAAATGACTCAATTTTTTTTTTCATGGGGTAAAATGTGAAAAAATAGTTCAAATTTTGCATTTTTTCTAGTTCTAAACAAATATTTTCCCCATTAATAAGAAATTAATCATTTTTTTTTTTCTTTTTTTGGAAAATCAGAAAGCCTAAATCATAATCAAACTATTTCAGGCATAAAATTGAGAGCCTTGAAGGAAATCATCATTCCTCTGGGGTCAAAATATAACAAAGTCCATTGGTAATTTTTAATTATATGACTGCTAGGGGTTAAAAAACACCTGGCCACAGAAAATTTTAGTAAAAGGTGAAAGATTTATCTGCAATTCCTGACCACCAGAAACCAAAAGTTTTTTTTTGTTTGTTTTTTTTTTTTTTTTTGAACCTAAAAAATAGCAGTGATAAAGAAAATTAAGCCACTTTGACATGGCTGGGTCAAAGGTCAGCAAGCCAGCCAGCAATAAATATTTAGAACAAGCTGTCATCAGTGATCTGGGTGATGACAACAACACTTAGCAGACAACATTGTTTTTTTCGCTGCATGTCTTTCGTATTTCCTACTGCCGGGCCATTTAGCCATTCATTTTATTCAATGATGTTCACACCAACTTAAGGAGAAAGGGATGCAGTTTGAATGATATTTTGAAGCCATAATAAATATTTTTTCATAAAAAAAGGTGATTTTTCTCAGAAAATTGGGCATAATTTCTAACCCTCAAGTGACATTTTTCACAGCCAAATCGAAGATTAATTACCAGTGAATAATTCCATGTGCAAACAATAGCTGTCTGGATCCTATAATGTGGCCCAAAAACTTTCAGAAGTTTACTGATTGAAAACTTGTTGCGCATAATTGTGTTTTCCACGGTCAGTTTCGATTCTTTCATCTTGATGGTGTCATTTTCAGACCATATCAAGTATTCAGGTAAATATTTTGGCACAGGTTTGCTTTACATTCTATGAGGTGCTTGAAATGTTACTGATGAATGGGATTTTTCTCTGAATATTTTGTTTATGCGCTATATTGGATTTTCCTATATGACAAAAACAAGGGTTTTAAACAGCCGTGAGATATATATACACACACACACACTCGCTTAAAAGCTGCCCTATCAGGGAGCATTTAGGCGAGCTCCTGTAGAGAGCTCTTGATTATGCCTTCAGCATATTCAGGAGTTTGAGAGTCCCTAATTAGGTTTTTGCATATTTTTAGCATTGGAAGGTCTCCTGGCTTGATCTGGGTTTTCATTTGCAATTGATTTTCTTTTCCTCGCTGCAACCTTGGCTCTTTTGATTGCAATCTGGTCCTCTGTTGGCAGACATTTCTTTTTGTAAGGCATACTTCTGCCATATTCAATAGGCAACAATAAACTACAGAAGAACTCTAAATTGATCACTGAATTTAAGTATTGCATTAATATATAAGCTTACCTTTTAAAAGTTCAATGATAATTCTTCTGCCACTACTTAATTTAAAGACAATTTGATGTACGTAGGTCCTTACTTTCTGTACAAACAATTATTTTTATTTCATGGATGACTTTCGCTGCATTTCGCAATTAATTTTGATTATTCCCAAATTTATTTCCATATTATAAAAATTGTTATCGTACAAAAAAAATTTGTTGGAAAAAATCAGGATTGCAAGTCTGGATCTGGTCTGGAATGTTTTAATTTGTTCACAGTCAGTTTGATTCCAAAATGGTATGATATGTTGGGCTACAGCCTCTAGGAGTAAAGTTGAAAAATGTGACACACTGATATTTGTGTTTATTTATACAGATTGGGAAAATAAAGCATTCCTGTAACTCTAGATACATACATAAAAAAATCCATACATTCAGTTAAAAGTAAAAATAAAATCATCATTGATCATGGCTAAAGATATAGTCGAAAGCTCTTGGACATACAGAAGATTCGGACAATTTTTACATACTTCATGTTGAGAAAAAAAATTTCTGAGAGCACAAAAAAAACTTGTATAAGAAAAATTGATTGATGCCCAAATACACTATTAATTTATTATATATATATATATATATATATATATATATATATATATATATATATATATGTGAAAAGTGTATATAAATAAATATATATGTATAATTATTTATATATTATATCTTGGTACTTATTAGAAAGCTCAATATCAGAGATAGAGCTAACATATTTGGTTGGATAGATGTGAGTTTGTGACCCTGGGTTTCACGCTTTAGCGATTTTGTCTGACGATCGCTAAAGCGTGAAACCCAGGGTCACAAACTCACATCTATCCATATATAATATATATATATATATATATATATACAAACATTGTTAAATATAACAGACAACAAATGTCTATTATGTTTGAGCTGTTCTAAACTCCATATATTTGTGTTAATTTTGGGATAAAATAAAAATGAAAATTGTCCAACATTTGGATATTTTTTATTATGCTATTCCTTGATCTAAGGTTTCGGTTCACATGAGCCATCTTCAGAATGGTATATGGACATTTAAACAAAGATATTCACTATTAAAGATGATATTCTGTTATGTTGACACAGAAGATTGCTTTGTGACAATAATGATCACAGAATAGCAGATACAGGTCATAAATTCATGTTTTGGGTCTATGACATTGTACCATGTGAGTGAAGAAAATATTAACAACACAACTGTATGTCTAGATGCAATGTAATGTGTTGTGACTAGTTTGAAATGTAATTTTGTTGAGTGTTGGTTGCTTTGTTTTAATGTAAACTAAAGCCACTATATGAAGCTTAGAATGGCTCGTGATCAAACATAATAGACATTTGATGTCTGTTATATTTGACAATATATGTTTGAATATATATATATATATATATATATAGGGTGGTGTAGAAAAAGTGTGCATTCATTATTCTTTTTCACATATGAAACTAATGTTTTCATGAAAATGGATGACCAACAAACATTGGAAAGTATAAGGAAGAGAATGAGAAGATACATGTAAAGGGTAAGAGAAGAGCAGAGTCATAAGATAATGAATAACCTTGTTTGCACTTAAAGCAATCA